ATCTTTCTTGACTTTCTTCCTTAAGAGGGAATTGGGCTTATAACTTTTCGGAGATCAGGATTGTTAGTTGCTACAGGCAGGAGCTGAGTGCACCTTCCACTTTGTCCAGGCGTCTCCGAGACGGTATCTCTTGTCCATCGCTGTCAATGCCGGCCACACTTTTTGGTTGCTCCATTTTCCCACTCTGTTTAAATCCTGGAATGGGGAACGTGGTCTTTGGCTTTGGGTAGTTTTGGCTTGTCTAGGGAGAGCCCTGCCCGTCAGGAATGCTAGACATTCTGGAGGCGTGGGAGGCTGGGCAGCTTCATCTTCTTTAAACGTGCTGAGTTCTGACTGCACAGGAATGAAGTGTATGAGTATTGCATGCCTTCCTTTAGAAATTAATTATTTGCATATTACTGATAAAAGTTTTCAACATTCCCCTCTTCTGTTTTAGTGAGGAGTGCATTTAAAAAACATAATCAAAGACTTCCAGGATGAATTTTCCTGATTAAAAAAAAAATCTCTTAAGTAGATTCTTACCAATCAGAAATTGTGTTGAAATAGCAGATTTCTAAAATATATAGCAGTTTTTCCTAGGGTAGAAGTAGTAAGATTGAGAATTAAAAACAGATATTTGAGGTTGTTTCACTTTTCAATTAGGCAGCCCGATGCCTAAAATGAAAATACTAATGTAAGGAGACATTTGGGGCGGAGGAACATGGGGCAAGAACATATGATAAACGCAGTCTACTGAAGTCTTGGAAAAAACACATTCCAGGGTACCAGAAGTTAGTATTCACATTTCTGATGCACATATTACTTAGAATTTAGAACATACAGATAAAATAGTTTTGCACAGTAGTGTTCTCTTTGCTACACAGTTCTCTGTGAAGTGGATCACTTTATATTGATGACTTGGAGTTGGAAGAGATGCAAGAGACTTAGAAGAGTTTCACAAATATTTTGCTCAACAATCTGTTTGCACAGTTCAAACTTCACTTGGAAGTCATTTAGTAGGCTTCTACAAAGTCAGTGAAGTTTCTGGAATTGTTTCCAGTCCTGTATTTCATGGTCACAATTTACAGATATATTGTAATGAAGTCACATGTTGTTCATTACTTATGTATGTCTACAATCTCCTGCAGTAAAGTACTGCTAATGATAATGGCTAATAGTTATTGCATCTTCTTGATGAATCAAGCGTTGTGCTAAGTGTGCTTTCTGTTTTATTATCTTATGTAATTAATTTTACGATTACAGTATCTGGTAACTACATTTTATGTTCCCACCAACTAGAGGTTCATTTTGGGACATGAGAAAGTAATGTGGATGATCTTGGAACATGTATATCCTCCAAACTTTCTCATGATCATAGTTCAATTTTGTGAAAGTTTGGATTAACTTTATGTTAACGTTTTTTTCAAATGTATTGTTTCCTTTTTTTAGTTTTAAATATGAAAAGTAGTAAAGTGTATATAGTAAAAGTAAAGTGTAGTACATTACTCACCATAATGCTGACTCCTCACATCACCGTCATTTTTGTTTGTTTACAGATAGTCTTGACTAAAAATGTTCAAGCATTTTTGAAACACTCTATAACTTTGAGTTACTAATTTGACAGTTGAAGTAAATTAGTTTTACTGAGGTGGATGATTTGTTTTATTTGAAGCTTGTGACATACACTTTAAAATTTATAACCATCTTTTTTACCAGCGACAATGACCAGTTTTCTAATTTGCTAAAGTAAAAACCATCAAAATTAATCAGAGTGGCTTTATTAAGTAAGCTGCAAAAGGTGATAAATTAGGCTAATAGTCTTCTAAATTAATGATTTGTAAAAGAGCTACCCAAACAAGACACTTGAGTGTTGTTTTGTTTTTGTTGGAGGGGAGACTTCGGTATAATAGTGCCCCCTAAATTGTCCTAAGTTCATTTTAGAAGTTATTTACACATTTAAGAATTAATGTTAGATAGGTTTGAAACTAGAGTAAATGTAGAAATTGTGTTTCCAAAAATGATTTGAGGATAACAATATAGAATGAAGGACTTTTAAATGTTATTAAAGAAGTATCAGGACACCTTATTTAATAATCAGAAGTAGAGGAACAATAATAGAAATCCACCTTTGTACTCTTGTCTTTACACAGCTTTATATGCCTTTTTTTGGAAAGATATTATTTTAGAGACAGATTGTTAAAAACAATTTCTATTTTCCATTCAAGACACTGCAGCAATCCAGAGTTAACCATTTTATTTCTATAAAAATTAATTGAAACTTTGTAAAATTATAAAATTTATAAATTCATTGTAAATTGCTTATTCATTATTATTCATTATCCATCCTGCAAAATCGTTACTTATTCAGACAGTTTTGAGTTTTTCATCCCTTATACTGCTATAAGCAGAGAACACATGGTTAGCAAACATTGCTCATGATTTCCCTGAGATGATAGTCTGGATAGGGAAACATGAATCATCTATGGGAACTTGGATAAATGCAGTGATGGAAAGCATAAGATGCTATACAGCATCCAATAGGAAATTCTGTTCTAGTTTGGTGGCGGTGGTGGTTATGAGGCAGGGGAAGTCCAGGAAGGTTTCTTTGAGCTGAGATCAGAATGAGTAAACAAAGAGGAAGGACTAGTCCAGGCAAATAGAACTGTATAGACAGGACCCTGTTGAGTCCAACAATTGGTGTTTTTCAGGTTGTAGGGACAGAATCCATAGTAAGTCTGAGAGCAATTTGATGGGTTGCAACTGGCATTTTAAAAAACGAAATAGAATAGGAAAGGAAACATCTGAGTATATCATCTGGCTCCTTAGCCAGAATCTGTTTTATGTTTACGCGTTCCTTCATGCGTACACCACACACAAACATAACATAATTAATGTGTATATTAGCTGCTGATATAAAATTATTTACCACTACAAGTCACAGTAAACAAATATTGGAAAAATGAGAAAGAGGTATGTGGGTGGCCGGAGTGCTGAGAGTGTTGAGTAGGAATTTGACCACAGATGACATTGCAGAGATAGGTAGGAGGCAGATCTCATGTTGAACCTTGTAATGCACGATAGCTTCTCATTGTCCTTTGGAAGAGTTTTGGGCAGAGAAATAACATGATGAGATTCATGTTTTGAAAATGAATAGCTTTGTAGTGAGACACTACCTTTGGAATGAACAAGAATGAATGTGGAGAAATCATTAGGAAATTAATAGCAGCAGCTCAGACAAGAAATCTCTGATATTCACCTAGTGTGGTAGTAGAGATAGAATTAGATAGAGTAAAAGATGGGGGGGTAATCAGTGGAGTTGGGCAGTGTACAGGAAAGAGTAAATGATGCAATTTTATATCTTGCATGTAACCCAGACATGAATATTACATAAAACTTTCTACTATACATTTCACAGAAGTCCTTAGGCATTCTACCATTTTGAAAGTGTCCAAATATCCAAGACAAAACATTTGGTAAGTATTTCAGTGATAATGCTTGAGCTAATTTAATTCCTCTAGTCATTTCCTTTTAGATTTCAAGAGATGTAAACAGAATTAGGACTTTTAATTCCAGGAAGGTAAAATGTAAGGATGAAGCAGAAACATAGTAAGGTTTTCCCTGAGTTCCTGCTGTGTACCAGGTTTAGGCATTTTAAGTGAAGTCTTTTAATTTTGTGTTTGCTTTTAATCTTCACACAGCCTATAACCAAATTGTACAGGTTACTAAGTATTCAGCTAGGATTCAAATCTCAGTCTTTCTCATAACAAAGGTTGTGTTTTTATTATATCACCCTGAAATTACCAAAAATGTTGCTCCAGTGATCATATATTTATTTGTTCAGTCCAAGTGTGTCATCATTGACTCAATGGACATGAGTTTGAATAAGCTCCGGGAGATGGTGAAGGACAGGGAAGCCTCATGTGCTGCAGACCATGCACAGAGGCGGACGTGACTGAGCGACCAAATAACAACAAAATGTGTCAGATTTGTGGACATGCTTAGAACTTAATTTCAACAGAGAAATATTCTTGATGAAAAGTGATAATCCAGAGTATGTGTGTGTATTGTTGTTCAGTCCATGGGGTTGCAGAGTCAGACATGATTGAGCGACTAACACTTCACCAGAGTGAAGTAAGTGAAGTCACTCAGTTGTGTCTGACTCTTTGTGACCCCACGAACTGTAGCCTGCCAGGCTTCTGCATCCACGGGATTTTCCAGGCAAGAGTACTGGAGTGGGCTTCCATTTCCTTCTCCAGGAGATCTTCCCAACGCAGGGATTGAACCTGGGTCTCCTACACTGCAGACAGACGCTTTACCATCTGAGCCACCAGGGAAGCCCAGAAGAGATGATTAACAGTTTGTCAGGTCAAACATAGTAACGATGGAAGGGAGGTTTTGAAAACAGGCCTTTCTATTTTCAAAGTTCATATTTCACCTTTATTTTTTAAGGTGATGTCATAGTGGGAAAATATGTTCTTCCACTAAGTGACATTTCAGAACAACTTTTATAGTTTAAAAAATTCTGTGCCCCAGAAACTAAGAGGAAGTTTATTAAGAGCATAGATTTTGGTCACAAGGCAGATATGGTTTTAAGTACCAATTCATCATGTATCAGCTGAAGTGAAGTGAAGTGAAGTGGCTTAGTCGTGTCCGACTCTGCGACACCCATGGACTGTAGCCTACCAGGCTCCTCCCATGGGATTTTCCAGGCAAGAGTACTGGAGTGGGTTGCCACTGAGAGCTTAGACAAATCATTTAACCTCCAAATCACTTTCCTAACTTAGGAAATGAGAATTTGCATATCATAGACTTGTCAAGATTATTGGCACTTAATAAATGGAAGTTGCTATATTAGTAATACAGTTTGTTGTTGTTGTTTTAAATAGAATATTGAGGTGGGCTTTGAGCTGTTTGTGAACACCTGGTGTTATAATGTACCTTGGTTAATGAAATATTTGCGTTTCTCTCTTTTTTTCTTCCCCATTTAAGGAATTCCAATTTTTTGACTGTTATGTGAAAGGATGATTGCTTACAAACAGAAAAAGACAAAGAAAAAACGTGTTTTGTCAACAGGCCAGCTCTCAACTGATGTTACAACTTCTGAGATGGGGCTCAAGTCCATAAATTCCAATGCCATTTTGGATCCTGATTACATCAAGGAGTTGGTGCATGATATCAGGAAGTTCTCCCATATGTTACTATATTTGAAAGAAGCTATTCTTTCAGGTTTGTCAGCTCTTTTTCCCTTAACCTGCTTATTGGATGGTTTGTAACATCTTAAATGCCAGCCTCGCTTTCACATAAGTATGTACACAGTAGCAGAAGCAGAATATTCTGCTTTAGGTATTTTATATATGTTTTGCCAAATGTTTGATGTTTACGGTGTAAACTATGTTACAGTCAGATCCAGTGCAATGCATAGTAGAAAGCTTGGGAAATGAGGGAACAAGACCTATTTGATATGGGAGATTTTTAGATATTTGGAATTTTAACCTTCTTGTTAATGGTAACAATGCACTGATTGGTCTTTAATAAGCACACTAATATTTTTAATTTATATTGTTAATACATCTGCATAGATTCAGTTTTCTATGTTGTTCCTAAAACAGTCTAAAATCACTGATTTGAGTGAATTTTTTCCTCAGAAGTCAAACTTAATTCTGTTTTGCTGTTCTCTTCCTCAAAAGAGAGTCACAGAATTTATTTTCTGTCTAGTTAGAAATGGATACTGGAGCCTGAGACTTGATTGTCTTGAAATAAAGAGCTATATACATCTGTACTCCCTGATTTGATCTTAGTACCTGTCTTTCAACTTTCTGTGCCTCTTTTATATCTAATTTTGATGGCAGTGGTAATTAATAGTCATACAGCTGATATTCTTTTGTAATAAGTAGCAGTTCAGTCCATATTCATAAAGGTATTCTGGATGTAGAAAATGAAGTTTCCTGGTTATTTATATGAGACCTTCTGGGGTTTCATAGACATAAGATTTCAGTAAATATTTTCTGTGAATATGTTAGATACTCATTTTCTGATATGCATTCTGAAAAATAGAAACTAAAAAAACATGCCTCTGTTTGTCATAAATACTGCTTTTAAGAGTTTATTTCTAACCTAACTGTAATTTTCCATTTGAAATGCCCAAAATACCTGGACTTGAATTGTAGCCTCAAAATTTTAGTATTGGATTTACCCTTAAATGACAATCATGGAAGTCATTCTTTTGAGACTATATATATATTTTTAGAAAAGAATTTACCTACATTTCTGTTCATTTTAATAGCTTGATTTTGAAGTCTAACTTTGGATAATTAAATGGTAAAAAGTTACTTTGTTGTTGTGGAAAGATATTCTAAATACATTAAGCCTTATACCAGTGACAGATTCATTATTAAAATGACACATATGCCATTTATTTAAAAAAGCATAGCTATGTAATAAAGGTTTGTTCTTAACTGGGTTTTAAATTTTTTTTAGTTTATATATGGTAAAATTTTTTTCTTTTTGATGTAACTGGGTTAACTTTTAACTCAAAATTTAAAATGATTTATTAATTGGCAAATCATTTACTTTAAGGTAAAATCTGACTTTATTTAATGTATCAATTAAAATAGGTTTCATTAATATAAATAAAATTTTTAGTTAGAATATCTATTGTTTTTGTTTTCCATAGGAAATTTTACATCATTTGAAATCTTTATCTCACATGTTTATCCCTTGTTTCACAGATTTAAAATGGCAAAAATTTAAAACAAGTTGGACCCACGCCTTATATCCATAATTTTTTTTAATGAGTTTTAATTTGTGAATAGACAGTTCATAGGTTAGGAAGGAAGAGGATTGAAAATTGATCCTAAGTAAGAATAAAAGAGGAAATTGGTAATAAGATAGCAAAAGGAAACGACCTTTTGAGGTAAAAAGATGTATATGGAAGTATATTTTTTACAGAAATGTAATGTTAAAAATCTGTAAAGATGTTCTTTAAATAAGAAAACCAGTACTTCAAAATTTAGAACTTGAGTGTATTGCTAATAAAGTTTTCCGTTTATGGTTGGTAAATTAATGCAAAAAGCCATCTTTTGGGTAACCAGCTCTCATTAGTAAGCAGTGGCCAGAGAATTTCCATTAATTTATCTTTGGATTGATTTTAATGCTTGATTCTTTAGTCAGAGTTAAAAGGATTTATATATGCCATCTCAAAATAAATCTTGGATTTAGCAAGAATTTATTTTCTCTGTCTTTGCATGGTTGTTATCAAAATCTGGAAATATATTCTTTAGTTTATTTGAATTGATAGAAACTTTTTGTTTGTTGTTTTCCTTAAAGGGAGTATGTATAAACAGTATAAATCAACCTCATTATAAATGACAAATTCCACGTAATAAAATGTTTGTTTAATTTTGATCATGATTTTCAGCATGTTAGAGTGTCATACTATTTATTTAATAGAATTATTGCAAAAATCACACGAGATATAGTCTTCAGGAAAGCAGGTAAAAAGTTTGAATTCTGTAGCTGTCTAAGGTGGTTTAATATATATATGTTAGTGGACATAGACATAGGTCACGCTTTTGTCTCTGAGCATTGAGAAATTTCCTTGGACTTCTGCTGTTCTGTATAGTTGTAAACTGGCCAGACAACAAAGAGCTGTTTCATGTTTTTCTTTTGGAGTGAAGAGACCATTGTCAGTATTTGATTGGTGGCTTTGCCACTCTTTTTTGTCTTTTGCCTCCTCAAGAGGAGGGATGCCAGATTTTTGGTGTTGTTTATTACCTTTCAGTTCATGTTGGTTAAGGCTATGAAAAAGCTAAAAAGTTGTCTTTTAAGAATGTAGCTGTGGGTATGCAAATCACCTTTGGTGTTATCTGAATACCATTTTCTTTATGTACTTTACCTGTCATGAAGCAGTGGTGTGCAAGATGATGTAACTGCTGCTTCAGGTGTTCCATCATTGTTAAGGCTGGGTGTAAATCAATAGCTTTGTGATAGGTTTATAGCCACATTTGCCTTTTCTTGAACTAGTTATAGAGATTATTATAATTGTATATGATGCTTTACATTTTACAGAGTACTTTCACATGCAACCAGTATTTAATCACATAGTCCCCACAAAGGCAAAGTTTAGCCCGTTTCATAGATGAGTTGTATGTATAATTTAGATTATGTGATTTCATCAACCTCTGATTGCTGATAAATAACTGCTATTTTATTTGGAACCTAGAGATCATGAATGCAGAATGGTGTGTTCTTTTCTCATGCTTTATTAGCTGCTTCACATGGCAGTTTGGTACTATAAAGACACCGCTCAGTTTTCATTATTTCTTTAACCAATTCTATTTCACGTGGTATTTATGTTGACCTATCCAATATGGTAGCCTCTAGAGATAACGGCTATTTAATTAGAATTTAAAATTCAGCTCCTCAGTTGCGGTAACTGCTTCAGGTGCTTATTACCCGTCTCTGATTAGTTGCTACCATTTTGGATGGTGAAGATAGAAAAATTACCATCACCACAGAGATTTCTGTTGGACAGTGATGGTATTGACATTTGGTTTTCATCAATCTCTGGAATATTGAGATGAACTTTTGAGCTATAAGTATTTTTTATTTTTATAGCCTGAGAAGAAAACCTAGAAAAAGTTGTTATTGGAGCAAAATTTTACTTAGAAATAGGAATTCTGGGAATTCATTTGAATTCCCATTCCTTAAATTGCCTTTGGAATGTCTAGCTTTCATGCAGTTCTTTGATTTGAACCAGCAGTTTCTAAGCAATTTATACAAGTTGGTGAGGTTGGTAATAAGGGATGGTAGAAAGAGCTCAGGAAAGAGAATCATACAATCTAGGTTCTAGACCCAGTTCTGCTATTGACTAGTTTTTTAATATGGCTTAAGTCATTTAATAATTTGTTAAAAATAAGGTGCTTACACCAGATGCTATTGATATCATAATTCTGATTTAAAAATTGTTTGGAATTGGAAATTCTACATTGTTTGGAATATTGACAGTTCAGAGCTGAAGAAGACACCTATAGTCAAACTATATACAGCTGTATTCAAACTATATAACACATTTTAGAGGACATCTGACTCCCACCAATTTTTAGGGTTTTTTAATGTGAATTTTATGATAACTTTCTTAAGTGTGGTGTTACTGAAAATTTCCTAAGTGTGAGGATGTTACGCTCATATTGCAGTAGGTGTTGATGAACTGATTACAGAAAATTGTTGTTCAGTCGCCAAGTTGTGTCTGACTCTTCACAGCCACGTGGACTGCAGTACACTAGGCTTCCCTGTCTGTCACCATTTCTTGGAATTTGACCAAGTTCACGTAATGTCTGCCAAAGGACACCTTGCCACCTAACAGAGTTAAGATGTGTGTGCACTTTGTCTCTACTGTTTTTATTTACAAACAAAAGTAGAGAGCTTAATGTGGGAGATCATAGGACTGTGAACACACTTGCCTTTGATATAGGGTAAGTGATAGTTTATTGATTCTCTGTCCGCTACAGTTTATTGATTCTCTGTCCGCTACTTATTTCCAAGAGGAGGTTACCCTGTGGGTGTGGTTTTTTTTTTTTTTTTTTTGGCTGTGCAGGATCTTTGTTGCTACACAAGCTTTTATCTAGTTGATGTGAGTGGAGGCTACTCTTCTAGTTGTGGTGCACAGGCTTCTCATGGCTGTGGCTTCTCTTGTTGCAGAGCGTGGGCTGTCAGGTGCTCAGGCTTCGGTAGTTGTGGCATGTGGCCTCAGTAATCGTGGCTCCTGGGCTCTAGAGCACAGGCTCAGTGGTTGTGGCACAGGGACTTAGTTGCGCCATGCATGTGGGATCTTCCTGGATCGGGGATCGAACCCATGTCTCCTGCATTGGCAGGCAAATTCTTTACCACTGAGCCATCAGGGAAGCCCCCATAGTCTTATGTAAGTAGCAGATGTGAAATTTGAAGTTTTAGATCTCTCTCCAGTGTCATTATGGTACCTTATGAATAATTACAGGGCAAAATTTGCATCTTACGTTAAAATGCTGAAGGCATGCTGTTATACGTATATCCCCTGTGTTTAAATATAGCACTGCAGATTACTGTATGTGCAGGACCAATTCAGGTTTATGTTGCCCCACGGAGAAATAGTGTGTTCTGAACTCCAAAGATAAATGCTCTTCTAGTTTATACAGTAACCTTAAACTCTCCCTTTGTGATACACCTTCCCATTCCCAAGTGAACACCAT